TGGTACATCTTAGTACATATAAAATGCAGTGGTCTGGATTAATAGAGCAAATCTCTCTTGAATGTGTTTTTAATAATATGATAGCACTTTTATTATTGATCGTTTGTTTATTAATGAAATATCATTATATTATTTAAGGATTATTCTATAATTCTATCTTTCCGCGTGATTAATTCATACTTTGGTTTAGTGTATACACTATACACACCTTAAAAACCTCACCTATATTCACTTTTCCTTTCAATTTTGTGTTAGTGTACATATATACATAAATTTACACTTTCAACATCACCCTTCACCTCTCTTCACTTTTGGCTTAACCAAACCTGGTTGTTTTTAACCTTTGAAAATTCTAGCTTTTTATTGGTTGCATTATTAAGTGGTAATAGATTAGGGCGAAGAGTAGATAGTTTTTTTTCAACAAGGCTAATTTGAATATATTTATAATTTTGTTTTTTTACTTGTAGTTATTTTGGGCTACTCTTATTACAAATGTATTTACTATAACATTAAATGTTATATATCAAATAACAACTACTGAAAGGAAATAAGAGTGAGATCTATAAATCCTTTTATCCATTTCTGGCTACTAAACCTTACCTTAACCTTTGGCTTTAGGTAAATCTAGCTCTGTAACCAGTAAATATAAAGACCATCTGTCTGTATTATAATCAGAGAGAGCTCCTCGATGAATGATAATTGAAAAATGTTTTACACAAAAATGCTATTGGGTTTTGCAAAAGATTTAGAACGTTATCTGATAAAGCCCGCCTTTCATGGTTTTTCTACGGTAAAGGGTTTTTGGAATTGCCACCTTGGTTAGGAGTTGAGATTCTCAAAGTTTAACTTTCTCAGCAAAGGCTATTGAAATTAGAAATTCCAGTTGTGTAAAGAAAATTAATTTTAAAATCACATACTTCATCAAAGTATAGAAATCTTTCATTCCATGATAGTGCTGAGTATTGGGTAATATTGGACATGTAGTGTCCTAAAAAGTTTTAAAAACTTTGTGTTCCAAATTATTTTATAACTATTACAAAAATTGTTATTAATTGTTATAAAAGCAAAGATGTGTATTAGGGCTTTACTCCACGAATATTTAAATTATCGTAATCATTTAAAGTCTGGAGTACTTTGAAGATGAAACTGAAGACGAGCTATTTAAGAGAATGATTTATTAGATAAAGATTATTTAAGAGAAGTAAATTAGCCAACCAAAGGAGAGTATCAAGGAAAATAAATGCTATTATTTGTTCTGAGGGAAGGGACTTGCTTAATATTTATGCAAGAGCAATAATAAATGACTGTAACATGCTGGTAGATAAGAAGATGCAAAATGCATTGAAGCTAGCTTAGCAGCAGGCTCAGTCCCCAAAAACCTACAGAGTTGGATTTATAGCTTAAAGAGCTTTATAGATACTCAGAAGTGAATGGGTATATATGACAGACTGGTGAAGGCGCATTCAAGATGGCTAAGAAGAAATTGTCTTTGAATGACACTGGAAAGATGCTGACGATAGCAACCGATATGCAAAAGGATGCAATGATACAATCTCCGGTGATTTACACTTAATCTTCATTAAGAACTGGGAAAACCTCGTGATCATTGAGGACAATTGGCTCATGAAAAGATCAAGATGATTCTTGAAATCTAGAGGTAAATTGAGCAACTCCAGCATGAGCTGTAGACTGAAGACATGAAATTGAGATAGAATAAGGATAAAATCTAGCGCTAGAATGACTTCATAAACAGTTCATAGTTAATCAGAAGGACTCGGAGTCTTTCTAGGAGGACTTCATCAGTGACTCCGTATCAGATGGGGATGATGACGAGTTCCCTCTGGAAGAACAATCCAGAGGAATGTTGCTAGGAGAAAAAGCAAAATGATAATTGAAGACGATAATGAACACTTGCAAGTGACTCTCTCCATGAGTAAAGACTAGAGACTTGATATCAAGTCATTTATGGATAAACTGAACTCGATAAAGTAAAAGAATGTACAATCCTTAGCGGAAAGAGCATCCACCTGCTAGCAAAATCAATAGAAGACTCTTGAAATGTATTAGAAACAGCAAGCATTCAAGATTGGGGAGATACTCAATGACAATCAGAATATTTTGCAGCAGAGGAATAAGATAATCAAGACTCAAAGTCATAAGTTTTTCATGCCAGTCAAACTAAATCAGTAGAATTAAGAATAGACACAGCAATAGTATGAAGGAGCGCGAAATTTATAAAGTGCAAAATTTAACAGTATGAATAGTTTGCAGGATGATACCTCAATGCAAATGACCAGCACTATCATCAAAAGAAGAGATTAGTCAGAGGAGACACTCAATAGATTCTTGCTGATTAATCAAAGAAAGAGAATGAATATTCAGCACTACTTGAAGATAGGTGATGCAAGCATGGAGCCTCAATATCTCAAACTCGGTTCTTACTTTTCTAAATAGTCCATATCATCAAAATTAAGACCTGATCACATTCTTAATCCAATGGTAAAATACACTGAATCTGACATAATGTGGGTGGCATATCTTTATCTATTACTGAACTTATCAGATTATAATCTTCAAACCTAAGAAGGGATTCCTGACGATTCTATGATAACCTTAAAATAGTTGATCCAGTCTCATGATTTCGATTAGGTTGTAGAGTTTCCTATAAAACTCCACCCTGCTTTCGAATATCTGTAAATGCTTTTGATTTATCAAAGAAAGCTAAAAGATACTTAATTTAAGCTATTGAATAATGATACTGAATGAATATAGTACATTAAAATTTTCTCTTGGATTTGCTATAAGGAGCAAAAAATACATCATGCTTCTACTGATTTTAAAATTATTTATAATGAAGATGAGTGTGAGATTTATTTCTATAACTTCAATCAAAATAAAAAGACATTTATGATGCCTGAATGCTTGATGGTGTCTATGGATGACAGACATAAAGGTTATTGCCCAATAATCCAGTCTATCTTTCCTAACGTGAAATAAAACAGTTATATTCAAAAACTCCACTGATAAAAACAAGGATTTAGAGAAACTATAAAGCTCATTAATTAGCGTCTTAAAGTCAAAGTTAACTTCAACTTCTAAGGTAAATGATTATCAATGTTTAATAAGTTAACCGAAAGAACTAGACTATACCAAAGACTCTTATGGAAAGCTTAATCCAAATATGAAGATATAACTAAATAGTCCGGGAAAGTAAAACTAAATTTTGATTCAGCCAAATACAATCTGTCAATAAGATGAAACTCATCATCTTAGTAAGTTCATGTATAAGAGATTATGAAAGTAAACATAAAATGATATTTTCAATGCAAAATAGCTAAACTAAAACTTCTTTGATACAATTAAGCTATTATAATAATGATTTCTTAAGTATACAACACATCTAGCGTCGTTAAATCAATGAGCTGTTTCAGAGCATTATTCTGGCCAAATAAAATCATAGTCTAAGATAAAGATCTCAGGGAGATATTGGAATCAATAGTCATACTAAGCAAATTATTACGAATTCCAATTCAGTTTCAAACATTAAAGACTCAAAGTATATTCTTCAGTATAATGGAGAAGATAGCTGTAGTATGACAAGATAAAATTCGCTATCCAAGACTAGAATTAAATGTTAAAATTCATCTACTTTCCTAAATAATCAAACAAAATTATAGTGATTAAAATCACATAGGGGGTAAACAGATTATTTCAAGTTATGCTGTTAAAAAAAAGATTTATTGCTTTTGATTCAGAATTTAAAATAATTAAAAATATTTAAACTCGATCTAGATTTAATATCACTCGGGGTTTTGGGGTTTTGGGGTTTTGGGG